GGGGGGGGGGGGGGGGGGGGGGGGGGGGGGGGGGGGGGGGGTGCGTAACCAGAGGCTAGTCCTTGATTCCTTCCATCTAGTTGTTAGAGCCCACCAGGCAATCAGCAGCTGGACTTGTTCTGGGCCTGCGTTACACGGGTGACAGCAGGGTCCCCTGTTCGAATTAGAACAGAAACAGTGAACATTTCCGGCCGAAGAAATGCTGGCAGTCTTTATAGAGAGCATAAAACACTAAGGAAATGTGCCTTTCCCCCCTTATCCTGAGCATTCTCTTCCGCCCTGTTTCTGCAGCTGTCTCTCATTTTTTTCAAGAACGTTCATACTCTCAATAATAGGCGATTTTTGTCACAAAGATTGAAGGCATGCAAACTATCAAGTCAGTTCGTTTCTGTTTTGATGCGTCTCTCTGAACTGAGTGAACAGCAGTACTTAATGAACGCGCCGTTCTGAAATTTAAGCTCTGATATTATAAACAGGTTGGGTGTGTTGGATACATCACTGTCAACAGCCAGTCCCACAAAACACTGAGTTTTCTTTGTTTAGCCTTACAGAACATGGGGCTCAAGGAATGAAAAGAGGAGGATAATGCCGGGGTGCCGCATACACATTCGGGGTGCTATGTGAACACATGCAAACCAGTGACCACGCATCCCCTGAGGAGGGATCCCCACTATTTCTCTAATGGTGGCATTCTCACTTCTTGCTGAATGGAGGAATCCGTTCATGCAGGCAGCGCCTTGGAAGCTAGGGAAGCCAAGGCTTGGCAACCATAGGCAGCAGGCTCCACTCAGCTCCCGTGACAGCCACTTAACTTCTTTGTGCCTCAGTTTACATCCTTGTAAGACAGCCTGACCAGGTACCTTCAAGAAGCTGGTTTAGGGGCATAGTAAAGAGGAAATGCAATCTCAAGTCGCTTTTTATTAATGAGGAGAGAGCAGAGATTTGGAGAGGACGTTGCTCTGGGATTTAATCAGGGCCTCAGTTTTGTCATCCGTGAAAATGGGACTAGTGACAGCCACCTCACTGGATTGTCAGCCATTGAGAACACTTAGTCTAGTTTCTGGAAAAGTAGATCTTCAGTAAATGTTCATTTCCTCTCCCTTTTAACTCGGAGTATCTTTGGTTCGAGCTCTTTGTTATCGTTTCCACAATAATAACATACACAGATTTGTTTATTTTTTTAAGACTTTATTTATTTATCTGAGATAGAGAAAGAGAGAGAGCATGAGCGGGGGGGGAGCAGAGGGAGAGGGAGAAGCAGACTCCCTACTGAGCAGGGGGCCCACCGCCAGGCTCGATCCCAAGACCCCGGGATCATGACCTGCACCGAAGGCAGACGCTTAACCGACTGAGCCACCCAGGCGCCCCAAGCTACACAAATTTAATGACTGACCCTGGGTGGCAGGCGATAGGCCTAATTATGACCCAGGGTGGCTTTGCTGCCCCATCCCATTTCTTTATATGTTCCTTTTTCTTCCCCTACCTCTCTCTACCTCTCCAGTGTTTCCCGCAGCCTGTATCCCACGGAGGAGGAAGGCCTCTGATCCATTTAATCACATTGAGGAGTGGGACATGTACGTGTGACCCCTCCCCGGAGACACTTACAAGGGAGGAGGAAGATAGCAATGCTTAGCCCTAATGAATGCTCCCTCCAATGAGATACCATGAACTACATAACAAGGGATGCTACATACCGTTGTTGACCCTCGAACAACCCAAGGGTTTGAGGCGTTGACCTCGCACAAAGTCAAAAACCCACATATAACATTTAATTCCCCCAACACTTAACTACTAAAAGCCTACTGTCGACCCAAAGCCTCACCAATAACATAAACAGTTGGTCAACACGGATTTTGTATGTTATACGTATT